GTATATTGATTAGAAAGCTATCTAGACAACACAGTATTGAGCAAACATATAAAATTTGAATATTCTGTTCACTTTATACTATTACATAACATTCTGCTGCAATCAGATAAGTAAAACAAGTATTTAACAGGCAGAATAAAGATCTGAGGGTCAAAAGATTAGATGATGCGTGATTGAATACCCCAGCTTGTTGCTATTATCATTTTAATAAGTATAATCGGGGAGGGGGGAGATGTAATCTGATCAAGACTGCAACACTTGAAAGGAGTGAGCAACATCCCCCCCCCCAAATTTTGTCTCCTTACCTGTCATGGATCCCACCAAAGACCTACATGCCTTATTAGTAGGAAAACATGTGTCTGTATATTCTCTTTAATGGGGCATACAGCAGCTTTGGAGATAAATTAGATCACAAACATGGTACCAGTGCCCACTGCCAAAGCCCCACTGCAACAACCCTGATCAAATTTGGAAACCCTTGCAACCACTCCAAAAAGAAATAAAAGAAAGCAGGCTTTCCTGTCACAGATGTCCAACTTACGTATTTTCTAGCTTGGGCTTTTCGTAGATTTTCACGGGTACAGGAATGCAGGTTTTGGTGTCCTCGGGTGTCTTCCCGTGTAAAAGTTGGGGTGTCTAGGCGACGTTTCGACGAGGTCTCACTCGTCATCTTCAGGCTGGTGCTTTCGGCTTCTTGTTACTGGAACAGAGCAGGATCTCAGTGTTTGAGTTCCTATAAATACTGTTGAGGGGGTGTGGTGTATAGCCTCCAATGTTCTGGGCAGAGAGGAAGTTCCCAGGCTAGTGTGCCTTTTCTTCTTTTGTTCCTTAATTACTTGAGGGATATCTTGAGTGATTTCTTGAGTGATATCCTGAGTACCACTTAGGTGGGTCATTAGGTGTGGATTAGTTGCTAAAGCCTTCGTGTCTTGACCTCTTGAACTTTGTGAAGAGTTTTTCTGAGAAGATGGCTGTACTGCAATTAGTTGTGCTCTGGCTTGGCTTCGTGTATAGGGGCGAGCTGTGGTTTTGTGTCCTGTGCCAGCCAGATCTGTGTAGGGATTGCAGGGGGGTGCAGCATCCGGAGGTGCCACCATGGTTTGGCTACTGGATGGTGTCTGTAATTTATCTGTGGAGAGGGTCTGGGTTTGGGTCTGGTGTGGTTGATTGGTGATGGCGTTCTGTGTGCCTCTGGATCTGGTGTCGGTTTTTGTGGGGAGGGCTAATTTCCAGATGTCTGGCAGGCGGGATGTGTCGTCACGCTTGTTCATGTTGTGAGGGTGTTTCTCTATCTCGATGGCTTCCATGATTATTCTCTTGTGGTGATGTTCCATGTTAGAGAGCAATTTGGAATCTGCAAAATTAATTTCGTGTCCTGTTTCTTTCATGTGTTGGAAAAGAGAGGAAGTTTTTTCTTCTTTTTTGACGGCATTCTTGTGTTCTGCGATACGTGCATTTATTCGTCTGTTTGTTTGTCCAATGTACGTGGCTGGGCAGACTTTGCAGGGTATTTCATAGACCCCTTGGTTTTCCAACTGGATTTTATCCTTGGGGTTTCTGAGGATATTGGCTATTTTTTGGTTGGTGCAAAAGGCTGTTTTGATATTGTGTTTATGGAGGATTTTGCTAATTTTATCTGTAGTGCCCTTGATATAAGGAAGGAGGGCCATGCCATTGTTTTCTTCTGTGTCTTGGTTTTTGGGGGGTGTTTCTTTTTGCATTAGCTTCGTAACCCTGTTTTGCTGGTATCCATTGGCGATTAACACATTGGAGAGATTCTGTAACTCAGTTGTCAAGTGGTCTTTGTCAGCCAGGCGTTTGGTTCTGGAGATGAGAGTCTTGGCTACGGAGTTTATTTGTGCAGGGTGGTGGTGTGATTGTGCATGTAAGTAGCGGTTGGTGTGTGTTTTTTTCCGGTAGATAGTGTGTCCTAGGGAGCCATCAGGTTTTTTGTAGATTAGGACGTCAAGGAAGGGAAGTTGGTTGTTGGCTTCTATTTCCATAGTGAATTGTATTTTGGGGTGTAGGCTGTTGAGATGTGTGAGGAAGCTATCTAGTTTTTCCTTCCCGTGTGGCCAAATTACAAAGGTGTCGTCAACATATCTGAGCCAAAGTTTGGGTTTGTGTTCTGACTTGTCTAAAGCATTGGTTTCAAAGTGTTCCATGTACAGGTTTGCGATGACCGGTGAGAGTGGTGATCCCATAGGTGCTCCTTCTATCTGTTTGTATCTTTGTCCATTGTGGATGAAGTACGTGTTGGTTAGGCAGTGGTTGGTCAGGTCCAGGATGTATTCGGGGGGATTGTATTTGTTTTGAATGGCTGTCAAGGCTTCATTAATGGGCACTTGTGTGAAGAGAGATACAACATCGAAGCTCACAAGTAGGTCATTGGGATGTAGGTTTTGCTTCTTTATTGTTTCTATGAACTGGAAGGAGTTTGTAACGTGTGAAGAGATGGATTCTGCATAGGGCTGAAGTTGCTTAGCGAGAAATTTAGCGAGATTTTGTAGAGGTGAGCCTATGGAGCTGACTATTGGTCTGAGTGGTGTTCCTTCTTTGTGTATCTTGGGGAGGCCGTAGAGTTTGGGGCATCTGGATGATTTTCCAACTTCCCTTCCTTGACGTCCTAATCTACAAAAAACCTGATGGCTCCCTAGGACACACTATCTACCGGAAAAAAACACACACCAACCGCTACTTACATGCACAATCACACCACCACCCTGCACAAATAAACTCCGTAGCCAAGACTCTCATCTCCAGAACCAAACGCCTGGCTGACAAAGACCACTTGACAACTGAGTTACAGAATCTCTCCAATGTGTTAATCGCCAATGGATACCAGCAAAACAGGGTTACGAAGCTAATGCAAAAAGAAACACCCCCCAAAAACCAAGACACAGAAGAAAACAATGGCATGGCCCTCCTTCCTTATATCAAGGGCACTACAGATAAAATTAGCAAAATCCTCCATAAACACAATATCAAAACAGCCTTTTGCACCAACCAAAAAATAGCCAATATCCTCAGAAACCCCAAGGATAAAATCCAGTTGGAAAACCAAGGGGTCTATGAAATACCCTGCAAAGTCTGCCCAGCCACGTACATTGGACAAACAAACAGACGAATAAATGCACGTATCGCAGAACACAAGAATGCCGTCAAAAAAGAAGAAAAAACTTCCTCTCTTTTCCAACACATGAAAGAAACAGGACACGAAATTAATTTTGCAGATTCCAAATTGCTCTCTAACATGGAACATCACCACAAGAGAATAATCATGGAAGCCATCGAGATAGAGAAACACCCTCACAACATGAACAAGCGTGACGACACATCCCGCCTGCCAGACATCTGGAAATTAGCCCTCCCCACAAAAACCGACACCAGATCCAGAGGCACACAGAACGCCATCACCAATCAACCACACCAGACCCAAACCCAGACCCTCTCCACAGATAAATTACAGACACCATCCAGTAGCCAAACCATGGTGGCACCTCCGGATGCTGCACCCCCCTGCAATCCCTACACAGATCTGGCTGGCACAGGACACAAAACCACAGCTCGCCCCTATACACGAAGCCAAGCCAGAGCACAACTAAATGCAATACAGCCATCTTCTCAGAAAAACTCTTCACAAAGTTCAAGAGGTCAAGACACGAAGGCTTTAGCAACTAATCCACACCTAATGACCCACCTAAGTGGTACTCAGGATATCACTCAAGAAATCACTCAAGATATCCCTCAAGTAATTAAGGAACAAAAGAAGAAAAGGCACACTAACCTGGGAACTTCCTCTCTGCCCAGAACATTGGAGGCTATACACCACACCCCCTCAACAGTATTTATAGGAACTCAAACACTGAGATCCTGCTCTGTTCCAGTAACAAGAAGCCGAAAGCACCAGCCTGAAGATGACGAGTGAGACCTCGTCGAAACGTCGCCTAGACACCCCAACTTTTACACGGGAAGACACCCGAGGACACCAAAACCTGCATTCCTGTACCCGTGAAAATCTACGAAAGCAAATATATATATATATATATACACACACACAGTATATATATATATATATATATTTGCTTTCGTAGATTTTCACGGGTACAGGAATGCAGGTTTTGGTGTCCTCGGGTGTCTTCCCGTGTAAAAGTTGGGGTGTCTAGGTGACGTTTCGACGAGGTCTCACTCGTCATCTTCAGGCTGGTGCTTTCGGCTTCTTGTTACTGGAACAGAGCAGGATCTCAGTGTTTGAGTTCCTATAAATACTGTTGAGGGGGTGTGGTGTATAGCCTCCAATGTTCTGGGCAGAGAGGAACTCATATATATGAGTACCAAGGTGTTTGACAACCAAGGTACGACTTATACGCCACCCATCTGACTGGGTTGTCCACCCACTCTGGGCAGCTTCCAACATAATATAAAAACAGCCAAGCATAATAAACTAAAAGTTTCCCAATACAGGGCTGCCTTCAGATGTCTTTGGAAAGTTGCATAATCAGATGTCAGAGAGGCAGGGATGGCGCTCCACATATTATTATTATTATTATTATTATTATTATTTTGTATGCCGCCCTTCATCTGCAGATCACAGGGCCCTTCTCAACACATAGCACGGGCTGCATACTGTGGAGGAAATGACCATGGGGATTCCTTGCTTATAAGAGCTGCCGAATGGAGCCTCCATGTCCCGAGGCAGTCTACCTCTGAATCACCAGCGGCTCAGGGAGGGGCAAAGCAGCAAACCTCTTGGGAAGGCATTATGGCCCGCCCTAGCGGGGGCAAAAATCGACGCCAGCAAGACGCCACAACCTCGATACAACGACGGCCACCTTCCCCAGAGACCTGGCGCTCTCCCTGGACCTTCTGGACTACAACTCCCGTCAGCCCCCGGGAGAGCGGCCGAAACGCGCGGGAATTGGAGGCGCCTCAGCTGCCTTTGGCCCAGTGCGGCTTCCGTAACGCGCGCGCGAGAAAGAGAGAGCGTGTCCCCGCGCGGCCGCCGTAGCGCGCTCTTTCTAGGGAGGCCTCAGGTTGCCATGGCGGCGGCGGCGGCGGCAGTGGCGGTTTCCTTCGTCTCCGCTCGGCGCCTGTGAGGGGGAAGTGGGCGAGTGGGGCCTAAGTTGGCGCTGCCGACCCGGCCGGCCATGGAGGACGAGCTGTACCTGGAGAACATCGACGAGTTCGTCACGGACCAGAACAGAGTCGTGAGTGGGGGGAGGGGTGCGAAAGGGGGGGGTCTCGCAGGTGCGTCAGAGGGGGAGGGGAGGGGGCTGTTGGGGGGGAGGGGGGATTGGGCGGAGCGGGGGAGGCCCGAACTCACAGAATATTTTTTATTATTTTTATATATAATTTTTTATTAGTTTTTTTTTAGCATATCATTTTCAACAGTAATTCAACATACTTTTACATCTTATTCAGATTTTTGACTTCCATCAATCCTGTCTGAAAATTTTCCAATCTAATCTCTCAGTACGCATTTCTTCTCTTCCATATTACAGTGGTACCTCGGGTTACATACGCTTCAGGTTACATACACTTCAGGTTACAGACTCCGCTAACCCAGAAATAGTGCTTCAGGTTAAGAACTTTGCTTCAGGATGAGAACAGAAATCGTGCTCCGGCGGCGCAGCAGGAGGCCCCATTAGCTAAAGTGGTGCTTCAGGTTAAGACCAGTTTCAGGTTAAGTACAGACCTCCGGAACGAATTAAGTACTTAACCTGAGGTACCACTGTACATCTTATTCAAATTTTTGACTTCCATCAATCCTGTCTGAAAATTTTCCAATCTAATCTCTCAGTATGCATCTCTTATCTTCCATATTACAGTGGTACCTCTGGTTACATACGCTTCAGGTTACAGACTCCGCTAACCCAGAAATAGTGCTTCAGGTTAAGAACTTTGCTTCAGGATGAGAACAGAAATCGTGTTCCGGTGGCACAGCGGCAGCAGGAGGCCCCATTAGCTAAAGTGGTCTTCAGGTTAAGAACAGTTTCAGATTAAGAACGGACCTCCGGAACCAATTAAGTACTTAACCCGAGGTACCACTGTACATTTCAAACTCATGACCAATATCTCTATCTTTTTCTGCTTTGTAACACTTCGTATATTTCTCCTTGCAAAACTTCTTGTAGTCTTACTAGCGTAATTTGTTGATGACAGTTGCTCTTCAAATAATTCATATACTTCTTCCAATCTTCTGTAAATCTCTGGTCCCGCAGGTTTTGAATCTTTCTTGTCATTTTGTCCTATTCTGCGTAGTCCATTAATTTCGTCTGCCATTCTTCTTTCGTCGGAATTTCTTCTTGTTTCCATTTCTGGGCTAACAATACTCTGGCTGCAGTTGTTGCATATAAAAACAATTTAACATCTTGCCTATTAATGTCCTGACCTATAATACCAAGTAAAAATGCTTCTGGTTTTTTTAAAAATGTAAATTTCAACATCTTTTTCATCTCATTATATATCATTTCCCAGAAGTTCTTTACTTTTTTACATTCCCACCACATATGATAAAATGTTCCTTCTTTTTCTTTACATTTCCAACATTTATTATTTGTCTTATACATTGTAGCTAATTTCACTGGTGTAATTTGCCATCTATACATCATATTCATCATATTCATACGAACTCACAGAATAATCATAGACTTTGAAGGGACCCCGATGGTCATCTAGTCCAGCCCCTAGGGGGTAGGGCCCACACTCACCAGCCCTACTATGTTAAATATGTATTCTGTACAGCGGTACCTCGGGTTAAGTACTTAATTCGTTCCGGAGGTCCGTACTTAACCTGAAACTGTTCTTAACCTGAAGCACCACTTTAGCTAATGGGGCCTCCTGCTGCCGCTGCACCTCCAGAGCACGATATCTGTTCTCATCCTGAAGCAAAGTTCTTAAACTGAAGCACTGTTTCTGGGTTAGCGGAGTCTGTAACCTGAAGCGTATGTAACCTGAAGCGTGTGTAACCCAAGGTACCACTGTAGTTGACCTCCTTTCTAGTGTTTTCTTTTGAAATCTTTAGGATAATATCTTAGTTTTCTGTTATGTTGCTTTGACTGTATACCCTGCTTACTTCAGATTGTTTTATCTGTGTTTTATGGATTTAATATGCTGTAAACTGCTTTGAGGTTTTTCTTTAAAATATGAAGCGGTATAGAAAGTTCAAAAATAAAATAAATAAAATACAGGAATCTTTTGCCCAGCGTGGCGCTCGAACCCACGACCTTGCGATTATGAGTCTCGTCTAGCATGAGTGCCAGATTTACATATAAGCTAAACAAGCTATAGCTCAGGGCCCCACTCTATTGGGGACCCCCCAAAAAATTAAAGAGGGAAAAACTGGCTGTATATTTCCAAAATATAAGATAAAAAACAAATAAAATAAAACCTACATACAGCAACAGTGTTTTGTGTTGTGTAGGCTCCTATTTGTTATGTGCAAATGGCTTTAGATACCTATTAGGTCCGTAAATTACCATATAGCATATATTCAACACACAAAAACAGCGACCATTTGTTGTTGACAAAGAACAGCTGGACATATAAATGGCCCCATTACCCTCAGCAGCTTAGGGCCTCATCAAACCTAAATCCAGCCCTGCATGCTCTACTGACTGACTGAGTTTGTTATATAAATATATTTATATCTAAATGTATTTAAATATATTGTTGTGTATTTATTTGTAGCCTGCCTGTCCCCCCCCCGACAAGGAATCAAGGTGGCTTACAGATAAAAGTAACAGCTTGAAAACATGGGGGGGGGGGTTAATTAAAAAAACCCAATTGAACATTAATAGAATATATATCTTGTGTGTGTGGCAAAAACATGCAAATAATTACAAGGAATACAGTGTGGCAATTGCCCTTTCTTTAAAAGCAGTCCATTCCCAAAAGTCTGTTGGGACAAGCTAGTCTTCTCACCTGCCAGGCAGAGCTAATCCATCTCCATCAGGGAGGGAGTCCTAGAGTCACAGATCAGCTGCAGAGAAGGTTGTTTATTGCAGCTATATCCTACCTTGAACCCAATGGCAGTGGGTTAAAAGAAAACTGGCGCAGAAATGATGGGCTTGGCTATCTATGGGCGATTGCAGTAACGATGGTCGGCAGTTTTTGGGGGGCTGCTGGCACTTGTTGCATGTTGAAATTGGATTGTTCTCCATTGCAGGTAACATACAAATGGCTGAGCTATACACTAGGTGTTCACGTCAACCAAGCCAAGCAGTAAGTATTGATATACAGTCATACCTCTTGTTATGTTTGCTTCAGGTTAAATATTTTCAGGTTCCAACCTGGAAGTACCGGAAAGGGTTACTTCCGGGTTTCACCGCATGCGCAGACGCTCAAAATGACGTCACACGCATGTACAGAAGCGGCGAATCGCCACGCGCAGAGGTGGGTTGCATTCTGCTCATGTTGCGAACGGGGCTCTGGAACGGATCCCTTTCGCAACCAGAGGTACCACTGTATTGATAAAAAGAGGAGCAAGTCTTCTCAACTGTAGCTTCAGTTCTCCTCTTAAGGCTAAATAATTCTTGGTGGGATTTTTTTAAAAAAAGATTGAGTAGACTAATTCTTTATTGGAAGCGGTCTGCCTTCACTAATCATAACTTTATCAAGGAACTTAATGGATTTATCTTCATTTTAGTGTCTCTCTCTCTCTCTCCCTCCCCCCCCCCCCATTTGCGCAGGATGTTGTATGACTATGTGGAAAGAAAGCGGAAGGAGAATTCGGGAGCCCAGTTGCATGTCACCTATTTAGTGGCTGGCAACCTCGTTCAGAATGGACACACAGTGAGTGCACAGCTTCTTCCATTACAAGTACAAATGCCTTACACCTCGGGGGTTGTTGCCCATAACGTATGGGCAAAGGAGTTCAGTGGGATTATAAAGGGAAAGAGAGCAGATGGGGCTTGTCAACCTGGGAAGGTAGCCCAACCAGGAGAAGGAAGACTCTGATCCTAAACATCCACCGCCTTCTGGGATATCTTTGGGAGAAGAAAAGGCTAAGGAACAAACCCTACACAAATCTGTAGTGCAGCTTGTGCACCTCCTTCCCAAAACTCCTGCAGCCAAGCTGGTGCCAAACGTATTGCTCTGCTTTTCTTAGGACCCCATCAATGAGGGTGTGTGTGTGTCTTGCCATACACACAGCCCAGGCTTGTCACCTCAGTGACAAGGACAAGGAGGTCACCTCAGTGCTGCTAATGCAGCGGTTTGACCTCACCCTCAGAGGCACACTCCATTGTTAGGACAACGGGCTAAAGAAAGCGGACAGTGCTTCTGTAGTCAGTAACAGTTATTGAAACTGTCTTTTTGAAGCATTAAGTGTTTGGGTTGAAACCAAAGTGACTAAAAATATTTGCATTTCCAACCAACTTCGCTCAGTGTGTTGAGTGTGCTACTTTCCCATACATTCTAGAGCAGCGTTCCATGCAGAAAAAGTTTGAACGCTGTCATGTCTCTACAGCAGGGGTAACCAACACAGTGCCTTCCAGATAAGGCACCTCCAAACTCGGCCCTCCAGCTGTTTCGGGACAACAACTCCCATCATCCCTAGCCAACTGCAACTCTCATCAGCCCCTGCCAGCATAGCTAATGGTGAAGGATGATGGGAATTGTAGTCCCAAAACAGCTGGAGGGCTGAGTTTGCCTATGCCTGCTCCAGATGATGCTGGACTACAACTCCCATCATCCTTCACCATTAGCTATGCTGGCAGGGGCTGATGAGAGTTGCAGTCCACAACGTGGGAGGGCACCCCACTGGCTGCTCTTACTCTACAGCATCTGAGGTCCATGGTCAGACCTCACCTGGAGTACTGTGTCCACTTCTGGGCACCACAGTTCAAGAAGGACACTGAGAAACTGGAACGTGTCCAGAGGAGGGCAACCAAAATGGTCAAAGGCCTGGAAACGATGCCTTATGAGGAACGGCTAAGGGAGCTGGGCATGTTTAGCCTGGAGAAGAGGAGGTTAAGGGGTGATATGATAGCCATGTTCAAATATATAAAAGGATGTCATATAGAGGAGGGAGAAAGGTTGTTTTCTGCTGCTCCAGAGAAGCGGACACGGAGCAATGGATCCAAGCTACAAGAAAGAAGATTCCACCTAAACATTAGGAAGAACTTCCTGACAGTAAGAGCTGTTTGACAGTGGAATTTGCTGCCAAGGAGTGTGGTGGAGTCTCCTACTTTGGAGGTCTTTAAGCAGAGGCTTGACAACCATATGTCAGGAGTGCTCTGATGGTGTTTCCTGCTTGGCAGGGGGCTGGACTCGATGGCCCTTGTGGTCTATTCCAACTCAATCAAAATAGAATCATAGACTTGCAGAGTTGGAAGGGACCCCAGAAGTCATCTTGTCCAACCCCTTCTGGTGCAGGAATCTCAGCTAAAGCATCTATGACAGATGACCATCCAACCTCTGCTTAAAAACCTCCAAGGAAGGAGAATCCATCATCTCTTGTGGGAATCTGTTCTCATTGTCAGAAAGTTCTTCCTGATGTTTAGTCGAAATCTTCTTCCTTGTCACTTGAAGCCGCTGGTTCAGGTCCTCTCCTCTGGAGCAGCAGAAAACAAGCTTGCTCCATCTTCCATGTGACAGCCTTTAGGTATTTGAAGACTGCTATCATATCTCCTCTTGGTTCCTTTTGGCATAGTAGCCCTCTTTAGACTTCATGCAATCAGATGATTTATTATTTGTGAGAGGGCAGCAGGCAAGAAATGAGTCTTGTATCCGAAGGCTTTCCACACATTTTGGAATCCTGGACAATGAATGAGCAGAAGGTGATGAAAATGGGCACTGGGGGTGGGGGCCAGATCCGGCATGCTTACTCGGCTGCCCTCCTCATGAGTTGTTAACTGAAGGAAGAAATAAATGAAATGGCAACTCTCTTGTAGTAATGAGCTTGGTCCAGCAGAGGGCACTAATGTGCTGCGAAAGGGACATTCCTGAGCATTGGGTGTTTGAAATAAAGGCTTTTCAAGGTTGTGGAAGGTGTTGAGCTGATACTGTTGTCTGTGATGATTTATAACTGATAATTTCAATTGTTTCGTACAATACATTTTGCAGTATGTTGTAACCCACCCTGGGACCATAGGGTGAATGGTGGATAGTTAATAATAATAATAATAATAATATTATTTTGCTGAAAGCTTTTTGGATATTTGGTCTGGCATGCTCTATGAGAGGGCAGCCCCACCCCCAGTAGGATCACTGCCTAGTACTACAATGGTGGGCAAGGGAAACCAGAGTTTATTATTCACACAACAAGAGAAATTCACACAAGTCCTTTTGAAATACTTAAGCTAGAAGTTGGGGGACAAGACTGAGGCTGCAGTCCTAAGTTGCTTTCTTAAAAGTGAGTTTTACTGAGATCTAAAAGATTTTCTTGCAGGTTAAACATGGTAAGGATCAGAATATTGCTTTACTAGCTAGAACAAAGATCTCAGGGTCATGAGTTGGACTGGATGGCCCTTGTGGCCCCTTCCAATTATATTATTTTATATTTTGCTTCTTTAATAAGTTGCCATTTCTTTACAGTGCCACAAGGTTGCAGTAGTGAAAGAAGAAAAGCTGGAAGGTAGGTCCATTGAGAGCTGTGCTTCCAAAGAAGCTTGCTCCGTCTTTGTAAATAATCCTAACATCACTTTTTTCCCGTTTGCAAATTTATGAGTTTGGGTAGTGTTGCTAGTTTGTCTGGAACACCTTGCTTCCATGCTATTTTCTAAGGATGTTCCCACATTTGTTGCCAACTCACCTCTGTGTCGTCATAATGCCTCTAGAGTGAGGAACGGAAAACATTGGTTTGGAATACTTAATGCAACTATGATGTGAGAGTGATGAAGAGAAAATAGACAAAGCTACATAGGACTTCACATACCTTTGGAAAGGTGTCTGCAGCAGCATACTCCCATATCTAGCTTTGTATTTATGCACTTTGTATCTGGGGGAAGAACTGTAGCCTAGTTGTAGGGCAGTCCCCAGGCACCTCCAGATAGGGCTGGTTTTTAGATCCCTGTCTGGAAACCTGGAGAGTCTCTGCCAGCCAGTATAGAAAATACTGAGCCAGGGGGACCAGAGTTCCTACTCCGTCTAAGGCAGTTTGCATGCAGGTGAGGGAGTGGACCAGAAAATAATGCAAATAGCCACCTTCCCCCACTGGCCCTCTGATTGCTCTTGGCGTGGAGATTGGTTGGCTGAAACGTGAGAGGGTTAAGGGAGCTTGTACCTGTTGGAAGTCAATTATAATAAAGAGGTGGGATGAAGCTTACCTCTGGAGAGGCTCGGCATGTCTTGCCTTATATACTTAACCATTAACTAAAGGTAAAAGGTAAAGGGACCCCTGACCACTAGGTCCAGTTGTGGCCGATTCTGGGGTTGCGGCGCTCATCTCGCTTTATTGGCTGAGGGAGCCGGCGTCCAGGCTCCGGGTCATGTGGCCAGCATGACTAAGCCGCTTCTGGCGAACCAGAGCAGCGCACCAAAATGCTGTTTACCTTCCCGCCGGAGCGGTACCTATTTATCTACTTGCACTTTGACGTGCTTTCAAACTGCTAGGTTGGCAGGAGCAGGGACCGAGCAATGGGAGCTCACCCCGTCGCGGGGATTCGAACCGCTGACCTTCTGATCGGCAAGTCCTAGGCTCTGTGGTTTAACCCACAGCACCACTTGCATCCCGTGAACCATAAACTACTGTATCCCAAAGACTTGAGGGAAATAACTTAAAAGAGCACAAACCCCTTTAATGCAGAATAGAACTTAGACTGAATGTTAACAATCCACATACCTGGTTTAAACTCTAATTTCTGAATGCTCAGTCCTTTTTCATTCTTAAGGGGACATTGCCTACGTGTCAACTTTCCCCTACCCTGTTCTACTTTTCCTTTCATCCAGTTAAACCTCTGTGTTGTCTGACCTTTCTCAGGGGGAGTTATCATGCTTTCTGTCCCCTCCTGCCTTTCCCTCTTGACGGGCTCCCCTTTCCCCCGCTCAAGCAACGCAAACAGTATTCAAGGACCAGACTCTCAAACAACTGCCCAACAATTTTGGTGCTCCAGTTGCTGCAGTCCCTGAGGTCAAACGAGGAGACAGATGATCAGGTGTTCCCTGAATGAGTTGTCCTGAAGCACTCTCCTTGGAAGTCTCCTCTTCCTGGTTTGAGCACATGCTATTTTCACTTGCGGTCAGGACAATATCCCTCCCTGCTTTGAGGACTATGACAAGCACCAGACCCAGGCCTGGGTGGAGAGCCAGGCTTGGCTGCGTTGTGCTGTGCTGTCCTTTTCAGGCACATGAAGCACTTCTGAAGCACAGCGTGATTGTGGGGAGAATCCTGCCCCATCTCCAAACACAGGCAGTTAGAGCTTCAGAAGCGTGGTGCAATGCGTACTAGTCCCAGCCCTCGTCCTGAGCTTGGAAAAGTTGATCTGTTCCCAGTCTTGCACTCTGCTCCAGAAGCACTTAGACAGCCTCTGAGATCCAGCGCGACACCAGAGATAAAGATCCCATCCCAGGCAACAATTCTGGCCAGAATCAATGTGCCTCTGGTTGCAAGTCTGTCATTCAAAAATTGTGCAACCTCAGCCAGTTGTCCGCATGGGGTTGGGGGGGAAGTGTGATGCAGAAGCGAAAGCATCTGAGATTACAGCCAGCTACTGTAGAGGTGAGGCAGACATTCCTCCAAACTTCTGTTTCGACCAAACTCTGCTTCGTGTGACCTGATACAGCCTTGGCAGAAGCGCTTGGGCTGCAAGCCCTCAGATTGTTATCGCAGGTCTAATGTTTCTCCTTCTCAGGGGAGAGGCATGTGGGCTAGACATTTTGACTACAAATGCTTTTGTAGCCATAATTCAGCTGTATGGTAGACAGTCTTACATTGTGAGTCTCTTGACAGCCAAACGTTCAGCTGCCAAGAGCATGATAGTTTCAGAATAGTCGCTTTAGGTACTGAGTGAAACTGGCAAGGAGCAATGCAGGCTTCTCATGAGAGTCTTCTAAGGTGTCCTGGGATCGGTTCGTTTGTTGGGTGCCCATTCTCGATTTTAAGAGTTATCCCCTCCCAATATTTCCCCCAGTTTTGTGCCATGATCATACACATATTGCCATTGCCACATGTATATGGAGGCACCAGTTTGCACAAGCTTCACCTGAGCATACAAGTGTGGCCTCCCAGCAGCCCAGTGCACTCCCAGATCGCTTGCTGAGTTGCGAACCATCCCACTGAGAAATGGTTGCTTTTTATAAGGTCCTTTCCATTTCACAGACCTGTCTTCCTTTTCAGCAATGAAGTCAAAGCTGTCCACCATTGCCAGCGTGCACGTCTACAGCATCCAAAAAGCCATGCTCAAGGACAGCAGTCCGCTCTATAACACGGACTACGATGTCATCAAAGCAAACCTGCAGAACTGCAGCAAGTGAGTTCTGTCTTGGTAACTGATCTGCTGGTCATCCAGATAAGCCCACCTTTATCTTGCCATCATTGCAGATTGTGCTCAGGCTGTAAGCGATCTCCAGAACCCGTCTCAGAGGGTTCCTTATTGTGCCCCTGCAGTAGTGGTTTCCCCCGCTCTGCTAGGAAAAGTTTTGAGCTGTTTCTCCCCCCTCACGGTGCTGGTTTTTCTTTTGCTTGCTGTTTGAATTCAGAGTTGGCAACATGCAAAGTGTCCCAAACTTTTCCTTTCTGACAGTCCGTACCAGTTTAATTGCTATGTTCTCATTTACCGTATTGGCCCGAATATAAGCTTCACTTTTTTTCCCTAACTCGGACTGTGAAAAGCTAAAGTGCGGCTTAAATTCACAACCTTACAAAAATGGGCTTTTTTACAATATCGCTCCTGAAACAGACAGACGGTAAAACGGAACGGGTGTGAGTGCCTGTGGAATTTTAAGGGAGTGGCTTATATTCGGCTATTGTCTTTTTTTCTTTTTTCCCTCTTGAATTTTAAAGGTGCGGCTTATATTTGGGCCAATACAGTATTGCTTCACTTGGATTGACTGAGTGATTATTGTTTATTTAATTCATAAAAACTGAACGTATCTTAATTGTAAAAAAATCTCTAAAGATATTTACAAAAGATGAACAGTAAAATCAAGAAAAAATTACAACCCTACTTTAAGACATGCAAAAGCTAAAATACTAAAACAGGCTAAAATCACCTCAACTTTCTAAGCAGCTGAGTAGGCTTGTCTAAACAGGAATGTTTTTAGCAGGTGCAAAAAGAATACAGTGAAGGCACCTGCTTGATCTCAATAGGCAAGGAGTATTTCATATATTTATATCCTGCCTTTCCCCCAAGTTGGCATGAAAATATATTTGTTCTTCTGGCCAGTTCTCTTCAGTGAAAAGAGATTCCCTTGCTTCCTGTCCACACTGCTGTGCTTGGGCAAGTGACTCTTAGGACAAGTTTAAAAGACATTTGTATAAAAAGGAACAGAAACCTTTCTTGGTCTGCTCCCATCTTATTGGTCAGTATGACATAATGTTGTTGTTGCACATGTTTAAGGAATGCATGAGAAATGAAACAGGAATTGTTGTCTCAGGAAACACCTTTATCCCAAGTGTTTGAGAGTGTTTGGCACGGACGTCAGATGATAAAACTCCCAAGTCGCGCTAACTGAAATTTCCCCCCTCCTGCTACCCAGGTTTAGTGCTATTCACTGTGCTGCTGCAGTTGCCAGGACAGCCGCTGAAATGTCTCGCGCCGAAACCCCGGCCCAGGTGGATCGCCAGCCACCTCATGGCGTGGATAAAGCCGCTACTCCTGTGGTCAACGGCCATGCCCCAAGCGCTTCTTCAAAGCAGACCTCCCAGCAGGCCAAGGGCATTATGGGAATGTTTGCGGCCAAGTCTTCCGCCAAGTCCCAGGAGACCCCGAAAGAGACCAAAGTGGAAGCTAAAGAGTCACCAAATGTAAGTTTCCTGGCTTTGGCACCCTTTGTCATCAGCTACCCCCCCCCCTGGGACGCGGGTGGCACTGTGGGTTAAACCACAGAGCCTAGGACTTGCCGATCAGAAGGTCGGCGGTTTGAATTCCCGCGACGAGGTGAGCTCCCGTTGCTCGGTCCCTGCTCCTGCCAACCTAGCAGTTTGAAAGCACGTCAAAGTGCAAGTAGATAAATAGGTACCACTCCGGGGGGAAGGTAAACGGCATTTCCATGTGCTGCTTTGGTTTGCCAGAAGCAGCTTAGTCCTGCTGGCCACATGACCCGGAAGCTGTACGCCGGCTCCCTTGACCAATAAAGGAAGATGAGCGCTGCAACCCCAGAGTTGTCCGTGACTGGACCTAATGGTCAGGGGTCCCTTTACCTTTACCTTTTTACACTCCCCCCCCCAACTTAATCTCCGGGCTGCATTGTAAAGTGCAATTTTGGACACAAAGGCATGAAAGGGAGAACAAATAGAGTTCGCTTTGAATATCTTCATTGCTTCCAGGCCTCCACAGCAAGTAGCAAGGCACCTGCTAAAGGAAATCTGCTGAACAACTTCTTTGGAAAAGCTGCTCTGGGTAAGGATTGTCAAGCCCCATTGTCAAGGGCTAAATACAGCTTATGGCATTTACATTCAAATCCTTGGCTCCAAAGGGCTTATTATAGCTAGATAAAGGATAAACTAGCAATTTGTTCCTAAGCATGCCTCTTCATTTGCAAATCTTAAGGAGTTCAGCGGGGAAATATAGGTAACAAAGGCTTGCTGAAACAAAACGTTTTCAGCAGGCTCCTTGAGGATGCCAGCATAATGTCAATAGGCAGGGATTTCCACAGCACAGGTCCTGCAATATTTTGGCTCCTCCACTGAAGTTCTGGAGGGTGGCAACACGAGAAGAGGCCTTTTCAGTGTTGGTTTCTCACTTGTGAAGTGCTCTACCCAGAGGCTCACTTGGTGCCTTCATTACTTATCTTTAGGCACCAGGCAAAAAGATTTAATTTCCCCAGGCCTGTGGCTTTTAGTTATCTGTGGGTAGGTTTTTTTAGTCCTACCTTTAAAAAATATGAATTGAGTTTTAGATTTTTCTCGTTTCAGTTTTATGCTGGTTTCAATGTGTGTGTTACTGATTTCTTGTTGTAAGTCACTTTGAATTATTTTGTTGAGAAAAGCGACAAATAAGTCTGCTTAAAAAAAATAAAAATCCTGTTGTACATGCAGACCAGGCCTGAGTATGCATAGGACCGCTGTCTTGCGTGTGATTTATTACATTGCTCCAGTAGCATCTGTCCAGTTTTTCTTTTGTAGTTTTGCCACATACTTCTATCCCTTCCCCACCCTTTGTTGAGAACGGAGCCCCTTCTTGTAGCCAGATCCTACCATAGGGAACGAACTGGTAAACTGCAGCCTTTCTGCTTTCCCTTGTGACAAATGCAGGCAAAGCGAGTTCTGAACCCGAACAGCGAAAGGAAGAGAAAGCTGCAGCCAAGTCCCCGGTGGAACCCAAATCGCTTCCGGGTGCAGCAGAACGTGAGAAACCCAGCAAGAAAGCTGACCCTGCAAGAGGACAGCAGAAGGACAAAAAAAGGTAGCCCTCCCCATTTAAGTTTATGGTTGTCTAAGGCTTTGGGGGTATAAATTGCCAGCTTGGCTCATTCATTTGCAGGAGTTCATTGTACTGTAACGGAGTGCCTGGAAGGGGAGGAAGGAGGCACACAGATTTTTAAAAGGCCGAGTCAAGCACTGAATTGCATAAGAAGTCTTGAACTCCATTGACTTTCTTCCAGACTGATTGCACTTTTAAATGCTCAGAAACTGGAGGCAGGGTTGCAAATGACGTCAGTATTAAAGCTGGGGCTCGTTGCTGTTTTCCATCCTAATTTTTCCTTTTAAAAGCCACTCAAGTAAAATGTGCACACACATTGCAGTATTGCAGTATTACTTGAGTATTACACAAATAACACAAACAGTCCAGTGATTCAGCTTTAAACTAGCTGCAATTGTCGTCACTTCTCTGATTCTGATTTTGAGAGCAGCAGAGCAAAAGCTGCTAGATATTCTGCGACTGCTAAATTTGTGTCCAGAATAAATTATACCAATATTGCAGGCTTCTGTGAGTTTCTGGAGCTCAGATACTTCTCTTCAGCGCTAGATTTGTACGTGTATAGAGTGCCTGGAAGGACTGAGGTGCAGGTGGGGAGCATTGTAGGGGGGGGCGCAGAAAGGAACGGGTTGTTGAAAGACAGTGCAAGACAAGAAAAACGCATGCATGCACACACCCCATATTGCATTTGTATACTTTAGCTTGGTGCCTAATAGAAATCTATCACAGGATGACAGGAATAGCTGCTTCACCAGAATCATATAATAGCAGAATTCTGGACTGGTATCCTTCTGTGCTTACTTTTAATTTTAGCTCAAACATTTGTCTGCAGCCTGGTGCGGGCAGTTTCCTGTTGTGGAGGCCCCCTCCCCTCTTGACTTTTAGCCAGTCAGCTGACTCTAACTAGCTGCCTTGTTTTTAGTCCCAGAGGCCTGGAGAAAAGGATGCCCCTTTGGCAGAAGAGCAGAGGCCGCAGTGCCCAGAGTTGTCTCTGCCACCAGCGCTAGCTAGCTGGCACCTTCCCATCAGTGCTGAAAGAAGCCATTTAATTAATTTTTTCCCCACTAGTAAAAATATGATCCTGCTAAAATGTATTTCAAAGCCACTCCAGACATCTGAGACACTACCTCATAGCGACTCCACTAAAAGAGTATTGATTGGCCGTTTGGGACGTGATTTCTTGTAAAAACTGTGCTTTGGGGACAAACTTGTTTAGACCCCCTGAGGCAGGATGAGATCCCAGGTCTGGGGGATATTAGCTTTCACAGCTCTGCAGTCGCTTTCGTAACGTGGCATTTTGCATCTGAGATGTCATTGACTTTTACGTCCTGCCCTCTTCAAGGGTTCAGAACAAGTTGATTCGTTTTGGGGGATCTTGGGTGGGCTGCTGGTCGATGCTGTTTTTAATAACACATTGTTTTGTTGGCCTCAAGTCAGAGGGTGCTGGCTGGTAGTCACCACGGGTGGCACTGTGGTCTATACCACTGAGCCTCTGGAGCTTGCCGATTGGAAGGCCGGCAGTTCGAATCCCCGCAACGGGGTGAGTTCCCGTTGCTCAGTCCCTGCTCCTGCCCACCTAGCAGTTCGAAAGCACGTCAAAGCGCAAGTAGATAAATAGGCACCGCTCCAGCAGGAAGGTAAACCGTGTTTCTGTGCACTGCTCTGGTTTGCCAGAAGCAGTTTAGTCATGCTGGCCACATCACCCAGAAGCTGTTTGTCCGCAACAGCTGGCTCCCTCGGCCTGTAAAGTGAGATGAGCGCCGCAACCCCAGAGTCGTCCGCGACTGGACTTAACTGTCAGGGGTCCTTTACCTTTACCTTTTCCAATTGCTAGGAAACCAGCAAGTGCCCCCCCCCTTAGCCCAACAGCTCCTGTGTCTCCCTTCTTACTCTGGCTTTCTGAGTGCTGTTAATGGCATGACATACATATCTGCACCCCAGGTGGTTGTGGTTCCTGATTTCTGGACTGCCGTTTGGCCTGCACTTGTCTTCCTCCGGATAGAATCACTACCTTGGATCGTTCTGTTCGTTTTTGATTGCAGAACATACGTGACCCTGGGAGCATCTTTTCAGCTCGCTTCTTCCTCTTAGAGTTCAGCATATGCAGCCGTCTTTAATTATAGGTGGTAGAAGAGGAAAAGCCTGCTGCTATTGTTCTTTGCTCCAGATTAGCAGTCGTGCGTTTTGCGTTTGGAGAAGTTGTTCTCTTTCTGCCTGTTCCACACCCCCAAATACATTTGAGGTGACGAGCCTTATTTGTTTGCAGAACAAAGAGGCTGGAGATGTCAGACGAGGAGGAGAAAGAGGTTGAGAGCCTGAAGAGAAAGAGGCGTCGGATCAAACATCCTCAACCCGACAGCAGTGAAGACGAGGGTAAATGGAAGATGGGGGGGTGGAGGTTTGATGAGACTGTACTCACATTGAAGCCAGTATCTCTAGGAGATCCTGGTCTTCTTGGAAGTAAGTGGGTACAGCAGTGCTAAGCATCTGCCCTGGATAAGTGCAAAGTCCCATCCAACGAGACTTCTCTTTCTCCTTGTGTCTTTGCTATAAATGGTTGTTCTTTCTGCCCAGGCATACGACCCTTCGTCTTACCACTAGGGAAATGCAGACTTCTGTGCTGAAAAGAGATCGCCTCTTGCAGGTGTTTTATTTATTTTTGAGTTGCAGAATTCTTCCCCATCATATTGGTTTCAAATGAAACAAAGAGCTTCCAATAAAACGCAGCTCATGAAAAGAAGATGCCGCAGAAAATCAAAATCAAATATATACGATATGTGATTAACAAGCAGGCTTTAATTTGGATTTGGGTTTGATATCCCGCCTTTCACTCCCCTTCAGGAGTCTCAAAGCGGGCTAACATTCTCCTTTCCTCCCTCCTCCACAACAAACACTCTGTGAGGTGAGTGAGGCTGAGAGACTTCAAAGAAGTGTGACTAGCCCAAGGTCACCCAGCAGCTGCATGTGGAGGAGCGGAGACGCGAACCCGGTTCCCCAGATTACGAGACTACCACTCTTAACCACTACACCACACTGGCTCTCTAATTTCTGCTGAAATTAACAGAAATTAAATCTGCTTTGTTAATCAAAGCCTGATCCCTCTCTCTGATACAGTGGCAACAGAGAGGTTGTGGCAATGAGAAGTTTGTTGTAACCAACTAAGTTCTGCTCTTGAGTAGACCTATTGAAAGGAATGGATTTAAGTCGTAACCACAAATATAAGTGGATCTGCTCTTGAGTATGGCTAATGTTGGAGACAACCCTTTGTTACGCAAGATACACAAATACCCATAATTCAGTTTCTCTTTGGAAACCATGATATTTCTTTTGCAAGAAACTTTGATCTTTTTCTTTTTAGCATAACCTTGATAATAAGTAATCGAAGGGCAGCAGGAACTGTGTATGGAAGACAGTGTCCCAAATGAAAGGCAGGATGTAATTTAAAAACAAGCAAGGAGAGGCAGGAAGACAAGCATAGCACAGTAGCTCCCACCCCAAATACTGACACCCTCTGCAGGTATCAGCAGTCCCTCTTTCAAATGCAGCTCCGCTGCCCTCTAGACCAGCAGCTTGCTGGGCGATTTTTAAAAAGAAAGGTAAGATTTTTTTAAAGACATTTCTTGCAGAGTGAGACTAGTTGGCTCCCTCTTGGAGCTGAGTTCTGTTTCTTGGCAAGAGCCTGCTGCCACGAGTCTCCCCAAAGCTTTTGTTCTGTCTTCTGGGAGCAGCAGCACCTAGCCAGGCTCTCGTGACTTAGCACAGCTACCTTGTCTCAGTTAATAAGCCGGGGTTTGTTTTGTGGAGAGTTGTAGGATTCAAAATTGTTTCTAAAATGGTCCAAGTGATGGCACTGAAAGCCAAGCTGGCAAGACAATGGATACATCTCCAGGATGCTCACCTGTAGCAAGGACTTCCGTGTTCCCATTTGGGCAAATACAGGGCTGCTGTCTGTAGTAAATTACTGTATCATAAGTTGGGAACCAGATGTAGTGGGAGTAGTAATAATAATGATGATGATGATGATGATTTATTTATACCCTGCCCATCTGGCTGGGTTACCCCAGCCGCTGTGGGCAGCTTCCAACCGCATATTAAAAACAGTACAGCATCAGACATTAAAAACGTCCCTAAACAGGGCCGCCTTCAGTTGTCTTTTAAAAGTAAAATAGTTGTTTATTGCCTTAACATCTGCTGGGAGGGCGTTCCACAGGGCCGGCACCACTACCAAGAAGGCCCTCTGCCTGGTTCCCTGTAACCTCACTCTTAACCTGTGCTCTGAACACAACAGGCATCCAGCAAGCCAGGCAGCAGAAGAACTTGGGAGGCCACCGTTAAAGTGTAATTAGCAGCATCACAGAAGAAAACAAAACCAGATACTGTGTTGGTTTGTCCCAGGAAGGCTGGGAATACACAGTTAAAGCTGTTCCTCTACCTTAAAGGCTGCATGGTGGAGATGGTCATCATAACCTTTGCTGCTGCCATTTAGTATTCGTATACCAACATCAAGGTACAAATGGAACCTTGTCACTTTTTTGCAACTAATGTATATGAGCACCTGGTGTACAGGCTGGACTTTTTCAGTAGCACCTTGCAAGTTACAAAGGGTCTTGCTGGAGGGGTGAACCGGATTTTTCACCTTGACCCCAACTGCATTTATTCTCACAATCTGATAACCACGAGAATTTGGGATTTAAGCCCTTAAAGGAACCTCTTGGTTGCTGCATCAGTCCTCATCAATACGAGGACAGCACACCTTGGCTGCTGCCACTGCTTCATCTGACTGTGCATATTGAGGTGTGTATTTTGTGCGCTGCCCCATGCGCTGCCATCCACCTCACTGCTCGTGTTTCCACTCCTCCCCTGACAGAAGAACACAATTCATTCTTCCGTGGTTGGAAGCCGTCCACCAGTAGATCTCAGCCCTGCTTAACCTGCGAAAGGTCACTTGGCCTGATGTCTGGCCCAGACGCAGCATTCCTGGTATTGACCTAATAAGCTGGGCTGGTTTCACGTCCAAAAAAATACAAGCCGCAACTACGGTATGAGCACAGAGCTGCTGCCAGCCGAAAGTGGATTGAAAGGGAAGCTTGGCAAGTGTTCTGTCCAACATTTCCGTTGTTTCTATTAAGCAAGCAGGTTAGCAGGGCAAGTCCCTTCTCTGCTTGCTTACTTACCCTGAGAGAGGCTCCCCATGGCAGTTGTTCTCCTTGAACTCAGCAGGGCTCCCTTGCAACCTTTCAACTAGTCAAGGTGACGCAGTGGGGGGTTGAATGATACAGGTGCCGCTGCTAACGCAGTTTCCGCATTCCTGTCAGCTCAGGGGAGCATTGAAATGAAATCTGCCTTGTGATCATCAATGGCTTTTGCCATTCTCTTTGGCAGAACAACAACAGGTTGTAACTTGCTGCCGTAGCTGAACCCAAATAGCACAGAGTGCTCAACGCGAAATGCCCAGGGTTTAGTCAGGATAGGATCCGAGGACCAAAACATTTTTGAAAGCGTCTTGTGGAATTGAGGAGAGGTTAGTAACCTCTGTATTGACGTGGTTTTTAGACTGCTTGATTGTATCAGGGTTTTTTTAAAGCCACCTCCAGCCATTAGAAGGGACGCGGGTGGTGCTGTGGGTTAAACCACAGAGCCTAGGACTTGCCGATCAGAAGGTTGGCGGTTCGAATCCCTGGGGGGGGGGTGAGCTCCCGTTGCGCAGTCCCTGCTCCTGCCAACCTAGCAGTTTGAAAGCACACCAGTGCAAGTAGATAAATAGGTACCGCTCCAGCGGGAAAGTAAACGGCGTTTCCGTGCACTGCTCTGGTTCTCCAGAAGCGGCTTAGTCATGCTGGCCACATGACCCGGAAGCTGTATGCCAGCTCCCTCGGCCACTAAAGCGAGATGAGCGCCGCAACCCCAGAGTCGGTCACGACTGGACCTAATGGTCAGGGGTCCCTTTACCTTTACCTTTATACAATGAACTGGCCTCCACAGTCATTTATGGACTCACAAACCGTGTTTATGGAAGACAATCTTAGTAGGCGAAGAGTGATCGCCAAAGAGAGAAGAAAGAGACCTGTTCAGACACCTTTCGGCACCTGAAAGCCTGGCCATCTAATGGCACAGCAGGCCTGAGGTGTAGTGGGTATATCACAAGGGAAAGCGGAGTATTTCTGGGAGCCTTTAGGAATTTGTCTTCTTATGATCCAGCTCATATATCTCAGTGTCAGGGATCTCCTGCAAAATCTCAAATCAGAGCTTTCAGTACTGAAGGATAAGTTTTTATTGCTGCTTGTGGCAGAGAACGTTTTAAATGTGTGAATTTACAGGAGTGTTGGGCTATAACATGAGTTTTTCCGAGGGGTTTGTTAGAAAAGTTGCTTTTGAGTCCATCCTACCACACGTCTCTGTACCCTCTCGCCAAAGAATCAAAACACATTTAAGAGCCTATATTGGCTGACCAAAATGGAGCGTGTACACTTTTGCTTTTGAAAGGTGCCTCACTGCTTCATTTTCCAAGCTGACATCAGGGGCCCTTATGAAGATCAGGCCTCAAATACGCATTTCAGTGGCTGATTTAGAAATGAGGCATGTTTGCCCTGGCTTGAACTAGACAAGCAGTAATAAATATCCAATGTGCCATGTGGAGGTACATGAGGCTGCTACCGTTCCTTGGGTTCTGTGATGGAAGCAAGGCAAAATGCAAAGGTAGGAAAATAAATGAATAGAATGACACAATAATGCTGCAATCTCTCATTGGGCCATGGTTCCAAAACTGCAACTTAACTCCTCTTTTCCCCTGTAGATGTCCCGGAATCGCCTGTAACTCCTGAAGTGAAAGACCTTTCTCCTGAGCCAGACCCGAACCCAGAGCCTGATCCTCTGCCCATGGAGGTAAAGACTGGTTTTGCAGGCATGTTTCAGACAGTGGGAAACCCCACATTCTGAACATGGGGTTGTCTTTTATACAAACGTCCTTCGCTTGCTTGGCTTATGTAATTTTATGGAGTGGGGAGAGTTTTGTGGGGTTGGTAAAAAAAAGGTAAAGGGACCCCTGACCGTTAGGTCGCGTCGTGGCCGACTCCGGGGGTTTGCGGCGCTCATCTCGCTTTACTGGCCGAGGGAGCCAGCCTACAGCTTCCGGGTCATGTGGCCAGCATGACTGATGCCGCTTCTGGCGAACCAGAGCAGCGCATGGAAACGCCGTTTGCCTTCCCACCGAGCAGTACCTGTTATCTACTTCACTTTGACGTGCTTTTGAACTGCTAGGTTGGCAGGGGCAGGACCCGAGCAACGAGAGCTCACCCCATCACGGGATTCGAACCGCTGACCTTCTGATTGGCAAGTCCTAGGCTCTGTGGTTTAAACCCACAGTGCCACCCGCGTCCCTTCTTGTGGGGTTGGAGGGAGAAGGAATTAAGGAGGAAGTCTTACCTGGGTCTAAACTATATTTCTAAGTCTCAGTAGAAGCTCATTTGCTTCTTAATCTTGCTTAAAAATATTTATATAAATGTTCTCAAGCTGTTGCTTCTCATATACTAGATCACTGGCCCAAAGTGGCAGAATTGGGAATGTAGTGCAAGATGAGTGATTCTCAGTTCAGCTGTAATTGCTTTCATTGCCTTCTTTGACACCGATGGGCTTAGTGAGAAGTGAATTCTTCGTGGCCACAGCCTCCATTACAAATGATCCGACCCAGTCATGCAATCACAAGCAGATGCCACTTTGCTCTTAACGCTTGGCTGAAAACCCAAAATTGGCAGAGAGACAAAACCTATTTGCGTTATTGTCGGAGTCGGTTAACATCTCCAGAAGCCCAAAAGGTTTCCCTTCAGAATCAATTCAGCAAACTTCTCTCTTCAAAGTGGGGTGAATGAAGAAATTGGATGTATTCTGGTTGTTATAAAACGCCACCCAACTTCCAACTTTCCCCAGCTACGCACTTTGATTTTAAAAGCTGAACTGATTTTTCTTTTTCTTTTTAGGGGTGCTTATTTCTGAGTAAGGGACGCGGGTGGCGCTGTGGGTTAAAGCCTCAGCGCCTAGGACTGCCGATCGAAAGGTCGGCGGTTCGAATCCCCGCGGCGGGGTGCGCTCCCGTCGTTCGGTCCCAGCGCCTGCCAACCTAGCAGTTCGAAAGCACCCCCGGGTGCAAGTAGATAAATAGGGACCCACTTACTAGCAGGAAGGTAAACGGCGTTCCGTGTGCTGCGCTGGCTCGCCAGATGCAGCTTGTCACACTGGCCACGTGACCGGAAGGTGTCTGCAGACAGCGCTGGCCCCCGGCCTATAGAGTGAGATGGGCGCACAACCCTAGAGTCTGGCAAGACTGGCCCGTACGGGCAGGGGTACCTTTACCTTTACCTATTTATGAGTAAATTGCATAGATCCAACTTGTTAAAATACACCTCTCTGCTTTTGGAAGCAGAGGGAATTACAAGTGCTGTTGCAGTCAGGTCCTCCTCGTGGTTTCCCAGAGGCCTCTGGGCAGCTATTGTGAGAATAATGATGTGATGATGAGGATAATAATAATAATTTATTATATGCTGCACCCTACCGACTGCGGTTTGCTCAATTCACTCTGGGCGGCTTCCCAACAAATCAAAACATCAAACACAGTAAAACATTGAAATCTTCCCTGCTTTCCGCCGGGAGAATGCCTCTTCCATTGGTAGCACATTGAGCCCCTCCCCTGGTCCCTGGCAGCCCACTAGAAAGGGGCAAAAAAGTAGATGCTGTTTGTCGCAACGTTCACTGCACACCATTCTCACAGTCTGCACTGTCCTCTTTTTTTCAGGCATCGGGCAGGAGAGAAGAAAACGGAAGCGGGAAGCGAGTGCTGAAGTCCAAAACGTTTGTGGGATGAGGAAGGTGCTATAGGTGAGGCTTAGCTGTGGGCTGTCCTGGGGATAGCCAATGAACCGTGTTCGTTTTAACTGATCGATTAAGTAACGTAAACAGTAGCAAAAACAGCGAGCTGCTGTTGGATACGGGAGGGCAAATCCCTTTGGGCTCTCTATTAACAGGTGCGGTGCAATTTGCGTAGCATCCTAAGTTACCCTGCCAAGCTCGGGACGCGCTGGCATTTTGTGTAGGACCCTTTCTCAAGACCCGTTGGAAGTGGGGGCCTTGGGAGCCTGGAGGAAAGTGGGGAAGTCTGTCCGTGTGTTGATGAGAAACCCCTTGGTGCGCATTCATCATGCAAACCTCTAGCCTGGGTTTTGTCAAGTTAGAAATGGATTAAGGATCTGACTTTTCAAGTTTGGCCAAGTGTTCTGGCCTCCACTTCAGGCGCCTCCGAAGAAACAGGCTCTTTCTTTTCTGTCTATCCTCAGCCAACCTCCCCCGCCCCCGCCCCCACCTCTCCGAAAGGATGCATCCAGAGCTTGCAATAACAAAGATGGACCCCCTCCCCTTCCAAAGAAAGTGTGGGTTTTACTCTTTAACTTCAGTCTTTTCTAAACATGTCAAGAGTGGGAAGCTTTCCTTCACCACTTGGATAAATAGTCCTCTCTGGAATGCTGACATTACTCATTTGCAGTCCAGATCCGGCCCAGTTCATTGCTACCCGCACCTCTGGTGTGTTCTTGGCAGACGGTCTGGTGTAGCAAAGAAAGAACGGAAAGGAATCGTGGTGAGAATTGTTTGGGTGGGAGAAGAGGCCTAGCCATACATTCAAGTCAGAGATCTGAATGTTGCCTTTGCCAAACTTCCAGAATGTTTGTATTTGTATATGCACATCTGTCGGGTTGGGATGAGGGGCATTTGGGTCGTAGGTATGTAGAGGATTTCTAGGTGTCCAATCCAGAGAGATTTCCCACTCCTCCCATGTTTAACTTTGGGTTCCTGTTGGGAGCCAAGCTATTATGGCTTGCGTCAGGGGTTTCATACTACAGTCATACCTCGGGTTGAATATGCTTCGCGTGGAGCGCATTCGAGTTGCGCTCCGCGGCAACCCAGAAGTAACGGAGCGCGTTACATCCTGGTTTCGCCGCATGCACAGATGCTCAAAATGATGTAACGCGCATGCGCAGAAGTGGCAAAAAGCGGCGCGCGCAGGTATGCCGTCACTAGTTGTGTTTCCTTCTGGATGCGAACAGGGCTGCGGAACAGATCCTGTTCGCATCCTGAGGTACCACTGTATATGGATTCAGTCTAAGGGTGAGGAAAGGCCAGCAGGCCCAGGAATATAGTTCTCCAGCAGAAAGCGGTGAAGGAAAGATGGGAGTTGGGTTGGGCAGCAATTAGGACTCCGTGCCGTGCTTGCCTCCTTTGGTAGCCTTCAGAATTGGGGGGTTGATCTGGGGCAGTTTTAAGAGACTGTTGGGTAACCCAGAGGCTGCAAGAATCAGGGACTTTCCAGTGGTGCAAACGGTTCACACCGCCCTTTTGTTTCCAGTGACCGAAAAGGCTTACGAGAGCGAGTCCTGCACAGACAGCGAAGGCGACTTCCGCTCCAAGCCCTCCGCGCTCGCAAGCCGCCTGCCGGGCTGCCAAGAAAGAGCCCAAGGAGGAGAAGAGAGGCGCAAAGAGAGCCACAAAGGCCAACAAGCAGGCTTCCATCATGGGCTTCTTCCAGAAGAAATGAGCTCCAGCCGCTGCCTGGTTTGCAGAAGCTGCGTCAGAGGAGGCCGCCACCCTTTTTGAGGCACAAATACTTACCGTGTAAGTGGGCTTTCTCCGGAACCGGGAAACGAGACTCGCCACACGTGGGAACCTTTCGGTGCCAAAGCTGCTTAGAAAGCAGCCACTAGAGGCAACAGAGTCGCTGTTCGAGAATCAAATTAATTTGCTTTGTGCGGGCCTCTGAAATATATATCTCTATATGTAAAGGCCAATTGTTTCTTTTAGCCGCCCCGTCCTGCGGCAAGCCCCGCAGGTGGGCTTGCCTCTCCCACTGGCTCAGGTCAACGAAATGTGACGCGTCTCAGTATCCCCCACCAGCTATCGCTGTCCCACCTCCAACCCTTTCCTCTCCACAGTGGTGCCTTCAGAGAGCTTGATGGAGTCTTCAAGGTTTCTCTGCGGCCAGGCAGCTATTTGGAAGGGAAATCTCGCGGGCCCTTCACACGGTTGCCTGCTCTTGTAGCTATGCGGAAGGGCAGCGATAGCTTAAGAACGTTGGTGGGTCTTTTTCCTTGCCTCAACCAAACGCTGTGAAAGGCGGGAGAAGCAATGGCAGCTTTAGAAATGTCGAAAAGAGTATTCTGGCTGTGAGTCTTGACGCAGGCTGTGTCTGTTATGATAAACACTGGAAATGAGAAACAATTCAGAACCAGTCCGGACTCCCCTCTTCGCTCCATCTGTTTGTATGGGGCTTTTGCCCAAATAACCTTTTGCCCTTCTCGTCTTCCTCCTGTCATTCTGAAAGGGAGCCCAACCAAAGACCGCCTGTAGCTGCTGCCTTGCATGGGGTTTGCATCAGTTTTAGCATAAACAAGGTGGGTTGGGGTCTCTGACTGGTTGGCTTCCTTGATCAACTGCCAAGCAGGGTGTGTCCCCCCCCACTTTAATGGAGAAACCATTTGTTAATGAGGAACCAAATGACGAGCAACACCGTTTCGGAAGATCCAACACTTTTTTTTAAAGTTAGAATGAAAGGAAAGGTGCAGGGATGGAGACCGGCCATTCTTCTCACAGTGCTGCAGTTTGGACAGATCCGTTCAATGAAACATTAAGAGAGGGCAAGAACTCCATTCTGGTTTGGTTTAGGTCTAGCGGTGGAGTGGGCGGTCTTCCACAGCCACTCACTAACCACAACCAAAATAGAGTAGCAGGTAGAGCTGCTGGTGACGTTAAAAGAAAAGAAAAGTCATTTGCCTATTATAGATGGTGCCCAGGCCAAAGGAAAAACAAAAGGGGTTCATTATTCAACCCCATATTACAGAAATAATATTTTTATTTTGAGGCTTAGCCGTGGAGGTTTCTCAAACCTCCCCAAGCCCCTACTGAAACTAGTCTGG